TAACCTTGAATGGTGGGTATCATTGAAGAAGATTGGGTAACTTTCACAAGTCTGTTTCTGTTCATGGTAACATTCTTTATATGAAGACTTAGCTCAGGACTGATAGCCAAGAGAGAACATGGCAGAGGTCCACAGTCTGTCATCCAGCGCTCTTGGAGCCAAATGTATTTCAGAATTCACAATTATTTTATAATGTCATAGATGCATTCTTTTTTTAATCTATTTTTATTATTATGTGTTGGTTTCAGGTGTATAGCTTAGTGGTTAGAAAAATAATACACTTAGCATAGTGTTCCCCCTGGTATTTCCAGTACCCCAAGTGGCACCATGCATAGTTACTGACTATATACCCTATCCTTCACTTACTTCCCCGTGGCAATGTGATAAGCACTAACCTGTACTTGTCAGTCCTTTCGCCTCCTTCACCCCGTGCCCCAAGCCTCCCACCCCTCCGGCAATCCCCAGGTCTCTCTTTGTATCTGTGAGTCTGTTTCAATTTTGTTTGTGTATTTTGTTCTTTACATTCCACCTATAAGTGAAATCATATTATATTTGTCTTTCTCTGACTGACAGTTCAGTGAGCATAATACCCTGTAGGTATATACAGGCTGTCAAAAATGGTAAGATTTCATTCCTTTTAATGACTGAGTAATATTTCATTGTATATTTACCACAGCTATTTTATCCACTTTCCTGTTGATGGGCACTTGAGTTTCTTTCATAGCTTGGCTACTTTAAATAATGCCGCAATGAACAAAGGGGGCATATATTCTTTCAAATTAGTGTTTTGCATCTCTTCAGATAAATCCCCAGAAGTGGAAACACTGGGTCGTAAAGCAGGTTCATTTTTAAATTTTAAGGAAACTCCATAGTGTTTTCCATAATGGTTGTACCAATCTTCATTCCTGCCAATAGTGCACTAGGGTTCCCTTTTCTCCACGTCCTCACCAACATTCGCTATTTATGGATTTACTAACGATAACCATTCTGACAGGTGGTTTACCAGCCATTGTCATTGTGGTTTATTTTGCATCAGAATTCACAACTTTTTAAGGTAACCCAATGCATGTACTACTATATGGAGTACAGCGTAATATATAATGCTCACATCAAATGGAATAAACAACTGATTATTTTTAATCCTCACCCAAGAATATGTGGGGGGGGGTTTATTGATTTTAGGGAGAGAGACAGAGAGAGAAACATCAGTCCATTGCCTCATGTATGTGCCCCAGCTGGGGATCAAACCCACAACCTAGGTGTGTGCCCTGACTGGGGATTGTATCCACAACATTTTCGAGTATGAGATGTTGCTCTAACCAACTGAGCCACCCAGCCAGAGCAAGAGTATTAATTTGGAACTATAACCAGAAATAACCATAGTAGAGTTATGGTTAGTACTATAAGTATGACTAAGATATTCTCCTTGAATAATCATTCAGTCTTCAGAAATGAACGCTCCAAAATCTTCCATAGTTACTCACTTTGTTACTACCTGTTTCTCACTGATGTCTGAAAAGCCACGCCATTTAAAATAGATAAAATAGGATGGTCATCTATTGAAAATATGCATACAAATGAATGTAGCTCATCCGAAAGTATCTAGTTACAGCTTTGTTTAAATGCTAATGATTTATCAATGTAACAGCTTCATCAACTGGATCCACTTCTTAAAGCGCCAGCATAATAGATGATACTGACTTCATAGATCTGGAGGTTAGAACCACAAAATTGGCATAGAGATAGGAGTCAAACTTTTCAGCCAACGGAGTTATAGTTTAACTGGCTCTACAGAACTAATAACATTAAGAGGTGAGAGAGAATTTATAGGACCTCTTAACTTCTACAGTCTCTGTGCCAGAATGATGTCTGAGCTCTCCACACCTTACTCATAGGTTATGGGGAATGGTTGGCATGAACATAAGAAAAAAGTTCTTATCCCCCGGGGGATCACTGATGCATATCTGAAGTCAGTATCTCGGAAAGGAAGATAGATACTAGATCTTTGTGAACCTGGCTAGTTTATGGCATGGTAAAGGCTAACCTAATTAAGCTATTTTATCTGAGATTTCGTAAAACCTTCACTGTGTCTTCCCGTTTTATTTCTGTTCATTGAAGCAAGTTATGTTGACATTATCTGTGTGATTGTAGTAGAAAGGGAGTTCAAGAAAAGCAAACTATAAAGGAAATGTTTTCAAGCAAATTGTCCTTAAATCAACACTAATTACCAAATACTGATTTTTTTTTCCCCTTAAGATAGCAGAACAGTAATGCTAAATACAAAATTTAGCTAGGGTAAGATAATAAAAGCTATGGGAATTCTTTTAAATTAGAGCAATGGCACATCCATAAAACAGAACCCTGCTGCAGTTTACAGGAATTAGGTAGATCTATATGCACTATTGTGGGACAATCTCCAAAACAATCTGTTAAGTGAAAAAAGCAGATCATAGATCAGTACATAAGCATTGCTCAATTTAAGTTTTTAAATACATGTGTGTATATTTGTATTGCACATGCACGCATTTAATTATACAAAAAAAATGATTTGGAAGCATATACAAGGTCTGTCCGGAAAAAGTCCAGCCATTGTTAATATAACAAGAACGGTTTGCGTGACATCGATGTAACCTGGCAGCCAAGGAGAGTGGACTGGAATGCACATGTGTGAACAATGATAACTTCGCTGTACTAGTCAGTGGGAGTGGTAGATGCCATTGAGTGAACATATGTACTGTGTGGCCGTTGCATTCAAAAAGACTAAGTGAGTAGTGCAATGAATCTGCATCAAATTTTGTGTTTAAGCTTGAACATTCCTCTGTGGAAGCAATACAGATGATTCAGAAGGCTGCAGCCATGGGCAAATGGTGATTGGCAGCTTCATCACGACAACGTGCCCACTCATGCATCACACGCATCTCATGCAGAGTTTTTTTGGTTAAATATCAGATCTTCCAGGTGACTCAGCCCCTGCCACTTCCCCGCACAGCCCAGATTTGGTGCCCTGAGACTTCTGGCTTTTCCTAAAACTAAAATCACCTTTGAAAGGGAATAGATTTCAGAAGTCAGTGAGATTCAGCAAAATATGATGGGACAGCTGATGGTGACTGGAAAAACTGTGTGAGGTTCCGAGGTGCCTGCTTTGAAGGGGACTGAGGCATCATTGTCCTATGTACATTGTTTTTTGTATCTTGTGTCTTTCTTCAATAAGTGTCTGTTTTCATATTACATGGCTGGATACCTTCTGGACAGATGTCATATACTAAACTGTTTTCAGTGATCTCTGGGAAGGGTGATAGGGTTCACATTTGGTTGAAAGATAGACTGTATAGAGGACTTTCATTTCTCTTTATATAATTTTATGCATTTCAGTTTGTATAAGGAAATCATTCTTATATCTGAACAATTTAAAAATTTCTAAGAAAACAGTTGTGACAAGGTAGTCATTCATTCTTTACTGAGTACTTGACATCAAGGATACAGTGGCTCCTGCTCTCATTGCTTCGAGTGTAACGAAGGAGGAAGATATTAAACAAATAAACCCATATAAATAAGTAATTACAGATTGTGATAAATGCTGTGAAGTAAAGGGGCAGATTATTATGAGAAGAAAATTAATTGGGGCAATCTATTTTAGATAATGAGGTTAAGGAAGGCCTTTCTGAAGTAGTGATACTTCAGTTGATATCTAGTAGGATGAAGAATAGTTATCCAAGCCCTAAAGGCAAGGGAATTAAAAGCAAAAATAAATGAGTGGGACTAAACTAAACTAAAAATGTTCTACATAGCAAAAGAAACCAACAAAACAAAGAGGCAGCCAACATAACAGGAGAAGATATTTGCAAAGAGTACATCCAATGAGGGGCTAATATCCAAAATATACAAAGAACTCATACAGCTCAACAACATCAGGAAACAATCCAGTTAAAAAATGTGCAGTGGATCTGAACAGACAATTTTCCAAGGAAGCGTACAGATGGCGAACAGATACATGAAAAAAGTGCTCAACATCACTAGCTAAAAGGGAAGTGCAAATAAAAACCACAATGAGACACCACCTTTCATCTCTTTGAATGGCTATTAACAATAAGACAAGAAATAACAAGTGTTGGAAAGGACGTGGAGGAAAGGGAACACTTGTGCTCTACTGGTGGGATTGTAAACTGGTACAGCTACCATGGAACACAGTATGGTGGTTCCTCAAAAAATTAAAAACAGCAAGCCCTCTTCTGCGTATCTACCTGGAAAATTTGAAAACACTTATTCGTGAAGATATGTGTACCCCTGTATTCATTGCAGCATTATTTATAATAGCCACAATGTTATAAATAACCCAAGTGTTCTTTGACATATGATTGCATAAAGAAGGTATGGTGCATATATACAGTGAAACACTACTCAGCCTTAACTAAGATGAAATATTTCCATTTGTAACAACGCGGACAGAAATTGAGAGTATTATACTAAGTGAAATAAGCCAGAAGGAAAAGGACAGGAACCATATGGTTCACTCATGCGGGGTATAAAACAAAAAGCAACTAATGAACAAAGCAAAAAGACAAACTCATAGATACAGATAACAGAATGGTGGTTCCCAGGGGGAAAGAGGGGTGGGGAGAGAGTCAAGAGGGTAAAGGGGGCCAAATACATAGTGACAGGAGACTAGACTTCCGGTGGTGAGCACATAATGTCGTATTATACAGTTGTATACCTGAAATTGATATAATGTTATTAACCAGTGCTCTTGCAATAAATTTAATACAAATTTTTAAAGATGGAAAAGAAGAATGTTAGAAGCCAGCAGAGGAGAGGAGCTTACAGACTGACAGAGGGGCCTTCTGGTGTAACCTCCTCTAACGCCACCTTCTCTCGCAGGCCCTCTTGCATGTGATGTGATCTGTGATTCGATCCTTCCCCTGGGGAGCCCATCTCTATCGGTTCCTTGGATTCTAATGTTGTGCTGGTCTGATCATTTTCTCTCTGGGTTGTGTGTGTTACAGGTATGAGACATCTCTGTTGGATTTGGTTCAGTCACTGAGCCCAAAGTCTGCTTCTAAACCCCAGCCCCATCCCTGCAGAGAAGCTGGGTCCTGGAAACACAGAACTTGCCAACTCAGTTCTCTAAAATCGACCCGGAACAAGATGGGGGCAGGCAGGACCCCCGAAGACCTGGAGGAGAATCAAATTCTAGAAGATATCTTTTTCATTTGACACCAAAGCACTTGCTGCAAAATTTCCATCAGAACCTTGTGGGTGTTTTAATATACCGATCTAGGATTTTTAAATTTTTGATTACAAGTAATTGTGTCTCTCCTTTCAGAGGGCCCTATCTCACTAGCACCTGTTATGTCTTGCATATAGAAATCACCCTAACAACCCAGGGTGTTTTTGATCAGACCGATCAGTGGACAACACATCCAGGGGAGATGGGCTGTATATTCTCTGTGCCACGAAGAGATGAGAACATCAACATAGAACACTTCCTGCATGGCAGAGGCCATTGCATGTTCAGCCTCATTTTGAGAGTATTTGCTTCTCAATATTGTGCTGAAAAAGATTGGCTCCTCTTTTGTACCTATCAAGGAAAACCTATCCACTGAAAGATCCCTCTAATTTAAAAAGAGCCCCTTGTAACAAGCAATTTTGTAAAGACAGACCCTTTTTACCCCTGCCCCCTATTCTCTTACCACCTACCGCCAAGTGTAGTCACTTAATTCTGAAGTTGGAGTTGGTGCTCCTGTTATCACAAGGAACACTGAAAGCCAAGTGTAAGACTCAGTAGTCATCATCCTGGCAGCTGTTCCTCCCATAACCAAAAAGACTCAGTGGGCTTGAGGGAAGGACCCACCCAACCCTTGGAAACCAGCATTAAATCACACAAAAGTGACTGCACTAGTGGAAGCAGAAGCCCGAAACACTTTTTCTACCATCCCCAGATTTCCCCAAATAGATAAGAGCAATCTCGGAATTTGTTGTTGACCTAAGTGTCCAGTTTATTCTCCCTTGTGAATATCCCATACATGTGTCCGGAGAAGATGCTGCCAGAGAGGCAGCAGCATCTACTTCTGCAGGCTGATAGGCGTTCCCTGGCCCTCTTTTTTTTCCTCTCTTTTCCTCTTTTGCCCCCTGGGTAAAAGGCATTCCTCTTTTCCCAGGAGCATCCAAGGCCCAGGATTGGCCAGGCCTTTCATCTGCTCTGCCCAGGGCCACTGTCCCATGCCTCCAAAGAATCTCTACTTTGCCGATTATGCTTTACTACTCCAGGCAGAGCTTCCTCTATTTCCCACTGGGCCTCACATGGACTCCAAGAAAGCCTGTGGAAGAATTAACAGTGGAGCTCACATTCAGCATGTTCTGTTCTCATGTTCAGCTTGGCCCTGCAACTTACAATGGGCTCTCGAGACCCCTCAACCTGTTTGTTGGGCTGGGTGATGAACCTCATGGAGCCCGCGAGTTAGAACACTCCAATCATTGGAAGCAACAGGAAGTGTGTCCCCAGATGTGTATTACTTGATGACTTTATTTGACCTAGATGGTGTTGCTTTTATTTTTCTCTCCCTTCCACCAACCCCAGGCTTGAACTAGGACCAGGAGTGTGTAATGCGGTGTTGGTAGCCAAGGTCAGACCACCCAGGGCAGCCTGCACTTCGTCAGCCTTCATGGCTTCCCTGAATTCTTTATCAACACTAGATTGTTTCAGTCTACAAAAGCCTTGTTGCGCAGCTTCCTTGTCTAGAAAGATCTAAGTCTCGTTGTGTCTTCAGGCTGAGGCACTGTCACCTCTACCTGACCTTCCTTCACTTGGGTCTTTGTGTTCTTTGGAAGAGGGGAGAACGGGGCTTAGCACTACCGTACCCTTGATCCAAGGTAAATGTAAACGCCGGGACTAACTAGCTGTAGTCATTCACTTGAAAAGTTGGAAAATCACTGCAGATTACAGTATTCTTTTAAAGTTTACCCTGGTAAGAGTAACTGAATCCCATTTTATCTCATTTCAGAAGGCTTTTTGAAAATGAGTTTTTCTTTGGAGTGGCAAAAACGGGTGTCCATTTTCTCAGTTAAAGTTAGGTTTCCACATGTCATGGCCACCTTCATGTGGGCAACTCCCTGGGACCATCGACAGTCACACTCTTCCATTCTGGACACTGGCATCCGTACTGCCCTCCAGAGAGAGGGGACGCTAGGAGGGTCCCGACAAGAACTGTGATTCCTTTCAGAAGCTTGTTTGCCTTTAAAGAATCATAAGCTAGATCTAAAACAAAGGCTTTGGGAGGACACATACCACAGAATAGAGTTTAATTGTTTCTTTACTTCCCCTGAATGAGCAGTTTGGAAGAGCAAAGATGGATTTTCAGCAGAGCCTGTCAAAATTTTTCATATGGCGCATAACCCCATGATTTGCCTTTCTCTGTACTGTAGGAATTTCCTGGATGAATCTGTGTCTAATCTAACATTTTCATTATGAATTGAACTGTGTATGTTAACATATTAATGTGTGTCTTCCTTTGAGATGTGTATATATACACGCATGCACGCACGCGCGCGCGCGTGTGTGTGTGTGTGTGTGTGTGTGTGTGTGTAAATGAAAAGGTGGTAGAGTCTGGAGACTTAGTTGCAGACTAACCGACTGAGAGGGGGCCTGGCACATTGGAATCTGCTTTCCTTTCTGTGAAGTGACTGGTTGGGATTTGCTTACCCAGCCTCCAGCTCCTGCCTCAAAACAAGACTGGCCACAAATTGGAGGTGCTGCAGGTAGTGAGACATCATTCCCCACCCTCCTGCTCCCCACCATTCTGAGAGAGAAAAATCAATCAATGTTTGCAAAACGGAAGAGGACAACATGTGCCCATGGACGCTCTCTAAGTAGTGCCCAAAGTGCTTGATTTAGAGAACCTAGGCCGGTCAAGGAAAAGCTCTTGCCCACAGTCACCCTTCAGGAAGCGTGCCTGGGTCGTTCCAAGCCTGATGCCCAGGGCAGGGACTTAGTTAGAGGACCCCAGATATCATGGGGAGGGAGGACCTCTCCCCTCCTGCCAGCCACCCTTTCCACTTGGCCCTGCTTCCTGCACCATGGCTCCTGACAGATTTGCTGGCCGGAGGCTTTGGGGAGGGGCCAGGCCTGAAGGAGCGGCCAGAGGAAGTCCGCGGTCATGGTCCTTGGGGAGTGGGGGGCTAGGGCACACTCCTCCCAGCTCACGCTTTATCCTCGCCTCAGAGTGCATGATTTTTAATGTGGGTGGCTGTTTATACAGGTGTGATATTTTAAGTTAGTAAACTATCTTCATGACTATTTTCCCCACTTGGTTTTGGTACTGAATTGTACTTTGAACATCCCTCATCAGATCTGTGGACACAGCTTGAAAGTAAGAGCAGAGCCCCAGGTTATTCAAATGTTATTTCCCTTAGTGCTTGTTAAAACAACAGGAGCTCGCAGCCACCTGAAAGAAAGGAAATGGTTTGCCACATCCTAATAGGCTATTACACGACACCACGCCTGTTCTAGGTTGTGTGGTTGCTGGCATGGAAGGTTCTGTGAACCTCTGAGTCCCTTCTATGTGCCTGTCCCCCCACTCAGCAAGGAAGAACTATCTCAGCCCTCAGACAGGAAAAATGGCCCTGCCTGGTTAGCTGTAGGTGTTGGGAGAATGTAGGCGAGGGCTTGAGTGACGAAATGCCCAGTTCGGAGATCACACCTGTGGATTCAACCAAGGTAGTGAGATACCCTGTCCTGCCCCCTGTTCCCCAGCCAGCCTGGCACGCTCACCTGAACAAGGAGACTTTGCAGCTGCCCCTCAGAAGCAGAGGCAGCAGGAACAGAATCATCACACAACCAGCTCCCAAACTGAAGATGAAGTAAGTTTGTTTCCAGTTGTCAAAAGGTTACCCTTGAGTCGATGAACGAAGCTGGGGACGAATGGGGGGAGGGTGACACCCTGGTCCTTGGGGGAAGAATGACCTGGCAGTCAGAGAACCAGATTCACAAATTAGTTACTGGTTTCATGGTCTCAGAGTTGCTGACCGCAGTGGGTTGTTCCTGAGCCCCTAGGGTTCCATTGTTTCCTTCAGAGGTGGGGCCCTCTGACCTCTCAGGCCTCAGCTTCACAGGTATCTCCCTTCCCTGCCCACCTCCCCCGCACACACTCAGAATTGAGTAGGTGCCCAGAAAATGCTCAGGGCTTTGTCTGCCCCCCCCCCAATAACCCCACCTGCTTCCAGAGTCACAGAACTATGGATGGATTGGCCCTTATTGCCCATGTAATCCATCACTTTCATTATACAGATGAAGCGTTCAGAGAGAAGGGACCTGTCCGAGCTCCCACATCCTGGCAGCGGCAGGCCTGGCTGCTAGGCTGGTGCCCTCCCACCCACAGCACATCGCTGCCTTAGCCTGGTGCTCCAGGATGAACGTCTTTTAGAATCTCAACTAGAACTGACCGTTCATTCCACCAGCATCTCGGAAGGGAGCCCTCACAGACCACTTGGCCCACGGCGAGAGCAAAAATGTAGCACGTCCACCCTTTGGGGGCTTATGGGTTGACAACCCTCAAGGAGTGAGTGCCAGCATCTGGCTGCCTTTGTGTCAGTAGACGTGGAGGCCGTGGGAAGGTGGTCTAAAGTCATATCTCCGGGAAAAAGGCAAATCTCTCCAGCAGCATCATACATGTGACTGTCTTCTCTAAATAATAAAGGGTGTTATGGCCGTAGTTAAGACCTCTTCTGAAAATACAGTGGCCAAGACGAGGAGAAGACCTGCCGTGGGTGGTGGAGGTGGTAGGTACACTAGTAAAACCAGTAGGTTGGTACTTGGGGGTCCAGTAGGAATGACCTGTGTCAGGACCTGCATGGGGACAGTCTCATCTGTTTGGCTTCTTGTGGCCCAGGGTGCTCCGTGGCATTTTCCCCGACTTTCCCCTTACAGGATAACCTGGTGGTCATGGACATGTGTTCTCATTCCTCTTGGTAGATGCTCAGGAGTGGGTTTGCTGGTCATATGATAACTTTTTGAGAAACTCCCAGACTGTTTTCCCAAACAACTTGACCATTTCACATTCTCACCAGCAGAGTAAGGGGGTTGGTTCGTGGTCACGTCCTACTTTCCCCTAAAATCCTCCCTTTCACTTATTATTACCACTACTGGGGTCCAGCACCATGTCAGCCCTCCCTTCTCTGCTCTTCTCTGCTTGCAGCTCAACTCCTGGCCCTCTCCCAAAGCCACACGGCTCTTTTCTGCCTGTGTGACTTTTTCATGTCCTATTCTTTCGATGAATCTGCTTCCACGTTTCCTGATACTGCCAGGCACCATTATA